TTCAGCAGCACTTACCATCCACAAACCGATGGACAAACCGAAGTCATGAATCGATCTTTGGGTAATTTATTACGAAGTTTAGTGGGTGAACATCTAAAGTCTTGGGATCATAAATTATATCAAGCAGAATTTGCTTTTAACCGCCCAGTTAATTGCAGCACTGGCTTTAGTCCATTTCTTGTCAACTATGGCTACAATCCCTGAGCTCCAATTGATGTAGCCCCTGCTGCTGATTTAAAGCGAGTTCATAGCAAGGCTGAAGATTTGATTTCACAACTCCAAAATGTCCATCGCACAACACAGCAGCGCTTGGTGGACGCTACTAGCAAGTATAAACATGATGCTAATAAGAAGCGTCGTTTTATGGAGTTTAATGTTGGAGATTTTGTTTGGGTCATTCTTACAAAGGATCGTTTTTCGAATGCTTACAAATTGAAGCTTCCCAACCATGTTCGCACGTCTGATGTGCTCAATGTGAAATATCTTGTTCCTTTCCATGGCTCCAACTCCGATGATGATCCAAATTCGAGGGCGAATTTTTGTCAACTCAGAGAGGATGATGCAGTGAGTTTAGCAAATACATACATGGACCATTGGGATCACGTTCGTGTATGAGGAAAGTCTTAATAACCTATATCAAATAAGTGTCTCTTCGTATGTGGGAGTTATCTAGGTTCATGAATAAAGTTATGGAGAGTCTTTTCATCTTTGTGAGTTATGAGGAGTTAGCTCATCTTGATTGAGAGGCACCTATAAATAATGCATGAAAATGTAAGAAAGGCAATTGATGTTTGTTATTGAATGAAGATTGAGATTTTTCTCTCGTCTCTTTACTCTTTTCCTGGGTATTCTCAGAATTAACATATCAGAGTTTAGTTCAGGGCATTCTTAGAATCAATGGAGTTAAATTTGCTTGAAATTATATATTTTGTTCTTGTTCCGCTGCATCAATATTGATGATCATCATAATATTCAAATTTTTTTTTTCTTTTGGATAATATTATGTTTCTAAAGCTTCAACTAACACTGTCATCAAACAAGATTAATCGTTCCTGCATAAACTAGTGACTAAACTCTTCACGGTATCTTGCAATTACCAGATAAGGAGTTAGTAATCGTGTAGGGAAATTGCTTAACAGAATCCAATTGCATCTTTTCCTTTTCCATTTGTATCGTATGGCTTGGCGATTGCAATCTATACATATAGGGTAGAGAGACCCCATTTAAGTTGTTCACCTACAGCTTTCAAAATGTAGGACCGCTCCTGAACAATAGACAACAATAGAAGAGGTTGGTTTTTATAACAGAGTGATGTTCTTAGAATTGAGAGAAAGAGTACAGGACTTGGTGTATATAGGACTACAGGTTTTTGACCAAAAAAAAAAAAAAAAACTATAGATATATTGGCCTTTTCGTCTTATAGTTCTTGTCTACTTAGCGTCCATTTGACATTGCTTATTTAGGATGATAAGTGATTTTTCATCTTTCTAGCATGGTAATTATAAAAGGATATCTATGGAGTATTATCTATGGGTTACCACCGAAATTGTTGTCGTTTCTTAGTGGCAGTTTACCGAATTCATTTCAGTTTTTCGGTGGTAGCCTACCGAATTCTTTATTGAGTTTGTATTTAATATTGTTTTTTGGGTTTTTGTGTCAACTTCTCTAGTATGACACAATATATTGTTTTTTGGGTTTTTGTGGAAGCATCGACTGTATTTAATATTGTTTTTTTATTTCATTTCCACATTCCCACTGTATATTCATAATCAACAACATATTACAAAAAGGATGTGACATCCTTAATGGAATCACATTTTACACTCCTATATCGTCAAAATACCCTCAACCAAGGAATGGGCGGAGAGGCTTCTATAAAAGTTGAGGATATAAAAGATGTTCTTGACTTGAAGGTGGATTAGTTACTAGCCAAAGGCTTCTTAGGAAATTATTTTCCTTTCGCATAACAAGTGACACTTGAGTTAGAGATACATAGGCATAACAAGTGACACTTGGGTACATTATGAACGCCAAAGAACTCAGATAAATCACTAATATAGTTGTCCTTCGTAGATAGGCCTAACTCTATCTCAGCACCTTAACATGTTGGTGGCAGGTGGTTTGGGCTCCAACCACTTCGTAATATTAACCAAAATAAAAACCATTATTCAAAATTGATACTTTCACTTTGTAAATTAGAAAACTAACAATTTTGCTAAAGATGATTTTATGTTTTTCTACATGAATAAACAGTGCGGACTGGGATGACTGAGATGAAGGTATAATGATCTTCCTCTATTCAAAAAATAACAATCATATTTATTTTTGCATAGTGAACTTTATTTTGGGTCATTTGAGCATAGAATCCTTCAAGATTTGAGTAGAGTTATGATAATTCATTCTGAGACCACAATTGAACTTCGTAATTTATTGCGTAATTTTTATAGAAGTGAAAGACACATTTATGCTCTAGAGAAACTGAGGAGGGACCCAGTATTTTGAAAATGATTAAAGAAAACAGATAAATCAAAACTCAAGAACTGACATTTCTTTATTGAAAATGATTAAATGGTTGAACTTCGTCTGGCCAAACATATCTATAAGAAGATACACACATTATTCCAAACAAACTTGGCGGGCCCAACACCCCCTTCCCTAAAAAAGACAATCAAATCCATGCATGTACAAAAGCCCATCTTATCCAACTCACAGCGGCACAGGATTAATACAGACTGAAGCAACACTATCTTTCGTGACCTTCCCAACACGTGTGAAGCCATCTTCCCCCTTGTAAAGAAGATCAGCCACTCGTGTTAAATTAAGAACCCGCTTAAGCACAGGCATCGGCACAGCAGTTGGTCGGAGAAACTCCTCGTTTATGTCCTTCCACAAATCCATAATTTGTTTCTTAAAAACATCAACTGTCTCTTGCTCTGAGACCCCATATTGCTTCATGTAGCAATCAACACTGGAAGCAGTATGCCCTCTTTCTTTCTCAAACTGAAAAAATAAAATCCAAAATTAATGTCTTTTCGGATCATATGCGTGTACATAATTACTATAATTTATACATACGTTGGTCGAAACAATGTCATCCATTAGCCTGAAAATGGTGTTTGCAGCTCTGACAATTTTGGGGTCATTGAGCAACCACTCAAATGACTCCTTCGTTACAATATCTCCCATGCCAAGTAAAGAGATGGTTGTAAGGAAGGTGTAACTTATAGAAACCGTTGCAACACTCATATACTCCTCCATGCTTGGAATTCGTCCTTCGTGGAGCCACCGGGCCTCATTGAAATAGGATCGAGCTTGATCTTTCATCTGAGGCATATATACCAGTGAAAAATGATCAATTGCGCAAGAACGAAAGTGTACTTTATTTTGAAAGCAATTTAAGTTGTGCGTATATCATGTTTTACATACAGCTTGTATCGCGTAAGGAACTCGGTATGATCTTCCTTCCTTGACCATCTCCTCCTCAATTTCATTGAAAAGATTCAAGAGTTCTTGGTAAAATATTTTCATGTAGTCAGGGAGTTCATTACTGCAATTGAGATCCCACCTGAAACAGATAATTAAAGTAGGAGAGTTTTGAGACAAATTAAATGAATATTCTCTAACAAAAACAGCAAGAATTAATTGTTCGTTTCAAATTATTAACCTGTCAATTGCTTCGGTAAAGATCACTAGTTCTTCAAATGTGCCAAATGCATCGTAGATATCATCCAATATCGTTAGCAAGACACTCACTTTGGTCATAATTTTTCTCCCCACAGAATACTGAGGCTCAAAATACACTCCCACTATCCAGAAGTACAACTCCACCATCCTATCTCTTGCAAATGGCAGCTTCCTTTCAAAGTCTAGTGCTCTCCACCACCTAAACATTTATATGTAAATATATTAATCCCAAATTGAACTTTGCAAAGTAGATCCCTCATGTCATGCACACAGATATAATTAAAAGAGAGACTTCATTATATTACCTAGTAATCTCTTGTAGCTCCTTTTTGTGTAAAGGCTGAACAAGATTGAAATCTAACTTGGCAAGTTTCAACAAGCACTCATTATGTGAAGCTTCGTCTTGGTAGATCGATATGTAACGCCTGGCACCTAATCTCTCTAGACTTTTTCTCAGAGGTCTCTCTAAGGCCTGAGTTATTTTTGCGGCCAATGGATTGCTTACAGGGGTTGTTGCGGACTCAAGGTGAGTGGTGGTGAAAGTGAGAGCCTCTTCTAGTATATCTTCTCCATGCACCCTCAGATGTGTTGCTTCATAAAAGCTTAGCATGCCAGACACGTCAGCAATTAAGCTTTCCTTGAAGCTACCATTTTCATCTCTGAACTTGTTGAATATATCTGGTTTTGATGGTCAAAAAATGGACAAAAAGATAAGAACTAGAATTATAGTAGCCCAAAGTCTCTCACACCACACTCCACAAGTATATCAATTAATTTCTATAAAAACGTACCACATGAAACATTATGTCCATGTTGTCTGAGTAGTCGAAAACAAAGAGCAACACTGTATAGATCACCATCATCATCACTGTCATGGTCATGAAGTGTATTATGCATGCGTTCCAGTGCTTCTTCTATTTCTCTTTCGAAATGGTATGCCACGCCAAGGCGCTGGATTGCATCGATTAGTTTGAGCTGATGTGAAAGATCACCTGCACTAGTTGTGAATACTTCCCTCCTCACAACTTCTTTCAGTTCGTCAACCTGTCCTTGCTTTTGAGCGTGAGTTATCTGCAGAGACAAATGAAATGAGTAAAAACATGTTGAAAAAGTTTTTATAAAGTTGAAATAACCTGCATATAGTTAATGAGAAAGAGTAATGCTCTCTTGCGAAAGACTTTCGTTGGCAAATTATGAATCTAAACCACACAATCAAACGAACATCATAAATATGTGAATTAGATTCATAGTATTTGTGCCAGAAGAGTTATAAAAAGTAATCTTTGATATGCGCATGCATGATATCCATTACATACCATGTATTGTGAATCATCATAATTGATGAACTGATCTCCCCAAATGCTTGGGTGAAAATTTGCTGTCCTACGAGCAATTTCATCTGGCTTAGCATTTTGTGGTTGAGCTGCTGAACCAACTTGGACAGACATAGTTTGCATGCTTTTTTTTTCGTAGGGAAGGGAAAGCTTAGTCGGTGTAGATCACAATGCTTGTACAATCGTGTATATATAGGCAAGGATCGAGACGCATACCAGAAAGTAGATTAATATATAAAAATAACGTAATAGTATGCATGGCGATTGGCGATTGGCGCGAGGTGCAAACTCATGTTATTATATTTATGTATAATACATATGCATATGTTAATTCTTGTCTCACGTAAGACAACAATTAAGGGGCCAGGCCGCCATGGTGAATCAGCAAGATTTGTTTGCTTCCTTTGCTTTTGTTTTTTTATTCGTTTGGGTCCTCTGAGCAACCTATGAGATATATGCACGTTTTTTTTTCTGAAAACGTTTTGATTGAAAATGATAACAATAATTCAATAATTCAATAATTCAATAATTTAATAATGTGTTGGGTATTATACATTATTAGGGGGTTGGATTAACTGAAATTTGCTATTACATGACTTAGATAATCCAATCCAACTTAATCCCAACCTTTTGGTAGGATTCATTTGATTAGGATTATGAATCCTATCCAAGTACATAAACCAACTCACTAAACAGACCCTTCAATTCTACCTCATAATCCAATCCAATGCCAGTCACCAAACATGACCAATAATTAATGCAAAAAAAATATAAAAAGGCAAAAAGTTATGGTTTCCAAACCTTTCTAAAGCTAACAAGTCTCTACTCTCTTTTTTTTTCTTGAGAGGCTATATTTTATAAGCTTAATTACACCAATTTTCCCTGAAATTTCGGTCAAACCCCACTTTGTCCCCCAAATTCAAAATGGCCCACCCCTTGACCGAGGTTTGGTGACTCACTTTGCCCTCTGCCATCGACTCCATCTAAAGATTGTTAACTTTGATGACGTGGCATGAGTGTTTTTGTAATTTCATACACATGGATCATTACCACCAATTGAGTGGGTGACGTGGTAAGTGGATCCCACCTCCACATAAATAAATAAAATAATTAAAAATTAAAATAAATCATAAACAAAACCCTAGCCACCCCCCTCCTCAACCACTCCAATCCTCACCCATTGACTCAGCCAAAGTGGTTAGCCACCCCACCCCGCCGACGACAACCCCTCTCCTTGCCATCGGAAACACCTCATTTTTTCTCAATACATATGTGTAAAGAAAGAAAGCAAACCATAGATGATACAAAATAAATTTTTTTACATTAAATTATGGGTTTTGATTTTCCCACACTACTTTTGTCCACTTACACTCCTTTTGTTTTTTAATACTTTTGACTATAACATATACAAGCGAGTGTAAGTAGACAAAAAAAGAGCGGGAACATACAATTTCCAATAAAGCGAGTGTAAGTAAACAAAAGAGGAGTGGAAAAATCAACTCCCTAAATTATTATTATTTTGTAATCAAATGGCAAAAAAAGAACAAATACAATTCAATTTTTCCCCAAAAAAGGCTTGGCAAACCAATCACATAAACAAAACCCAAACGCACAAACTCAAAACAACCATGGCCAATCTCCCACCATCCAATCCAACGACTCCATTCTTATCACTATCAATCGTCCGATCTGAATCGTCAGATTCCAGCGCAAAGCTAGAGGTAAGCTTGGACAAGGGGAGGGATAAAGTTCAAAGCTAGAGGTGAAGTTTTTTTGGCGACATAGTTGAATGTCCAAAGCACCTTGTTGCCATTGATCTTATTGTAAAAGAGTTTATATATTATGACCGAGGGGGTCACGAACCCATTTTCTAATGATGATGACATCTTCAAAAAAAAAATAATAGGGAACTACAAGTGAATCTTGATACTTTCAATTTTGTCGAGCCGTGCTTTGATCTCAGTATTCTTTCTACATAGTAAACCTTCCATATATAACATGCTTTACATATTCTTACAGACATAAAACTTTCATATAACATGTTTTATGTTCTTTTCTCCCCGTCTCTCTCCTCTTGATCATGCCCTTTGCATGTAGGAATTATTATTATTGTAACCATTTTTTGTTGTTGAAAGGGACAAGTTAGTGATGAGATATAATAGATTATAGATGTATTAATTTGTAGCTAGTTAATAGTATAAAATATCGATGATATTATCGTTTTCTTTTTTTTATTACTATTATTTTGCTTTTTGCTTTTTTATTTTTTGAAAGAAAACAATTACTATTTGCTTTTTTGTTGAAAGGACAAAGTTAATAATTGGATAAATATCAATGCCGTCTCCTTTTTTGGACCTGCATGCCTGCCACTGCTAGGTTAGAAACACAGGCGTACTGAAAGCTATATGAGCAGTGGTGGATCCAGAATTGGAAAGCTAACTAGGCAGAACTTACATATTAAAATTCGACGGTATGAGTGAATTTCATTAATAAGCAGAAAAAAAATATACCTAGTCATGGGGACATAATGAGTCTTACCCTTAAATGCATCTATACATAAATAAAAGCTTAACAACAAAAACAAAAACCACAAGTAATTTCAAAAAAATCACAAAATTTTAATTCAATCCCTACGTAAATCCTAGAATACTCAATTTTAAATTAAAACTATAATTAAAGATATAGAAAAATTAGAGAATTAGAAAATACTTTTGTTTGTAGAAAGTAGAGGAAAATATATTGTCAAGTTGTCCACTGCCTAGACAAGATAATAGGAAGATGCAACAAATAGAGGGGGAAAGAAGATGATGTTGCTGCCGTCGGATTGCTATAGAATAGAAGAGATAAACAAGCTGATGTGATGTAGCCAAAAGAGAGAGAGAGAGAGAGAGAGAGAGAGAATATGTGGGACCACTTTCTCTTGGATGGGCAACATGTGTATTGAGTTAGCTTTTAATTTTTTAAATTTGAGGCTGCCCTTATAACATATGTAGGTTTTAAAAATTAAAAAAAACTTTGGGATGGGCGGGCACCCATCCTGCCCTATGAACAGATCCGCCACTGTATATGAGCCATAAAAACCAGCTACACACTTGTCCATCCTAGCAAGTTTTCTCTTATCATCATATCAGAGTGCCAAAGATTTGACCAAAAGAAAAAAGAGATATTTAGTTATATACAAAAGAGATATTTAGTTATATATTCATTCTTAGCACTAATGATATAGATAAATTTATATCATTTAATTTATATAAAAAAAAACCCAAAAAAGACATATCAAAACGTGTGCATTTCAAGTGGATCCATCCTCAAATACTATTTGATTTTGGCTTAATTATATACATGCCCCCTGTGCTTTCAAACTTATCTCAGATTACCACCTATGTTTGCAAACGTCTCAAAGTACCCCCCAACCTTTTAAAAACCGTCTCACGTTACCCATTCCGTCAGTTTTTTTGACGTTCCGTTAAGTTTTTGTTACTATTCGAGAACAACAGCCTCTCCCCATTCGAGAACAACAGCCCATCCCCTTTGTTATTGTTCATCCAAACAATTTTTGGGCCGCCATCTCCTCCTTTGGCCACCTCAAGCGACGGCATGGGTATCAAAAGAACCAACACGTTGTCCTCTACCAGCCTCACATCTCAGCCACTGTCAACAGTCGTCTGGATTGCCGTAACAAGCAAGAAATTGGCCGGTTTTTACCCAAAATCTCCATCGCTCATTTGGGTGATTCCGAGCACCATTTGCTTCGATCCATGTATGGTTTTTCAACCTCTCGAGCTGTTCTTGCTGCTAGTTGTGTTGGTTATGAGAAATTTCTGAGTTTTGGAGGGTAAATAAGCGATTGAAAATCTGTCGGTTGGGGAGGGGCTGCTGTGAATGGGAGGGGGGAAGGAGGAAAAAAAAAGGAAGTGGGGCCCAACGTTCGTAACAGAATGTCAAAAAAACTGACGGACGGTTAATATGAGACGGTTTTTAAAAGGTTGGGAGGGTACTTTGAGACGTTTGCAAACACAGGTGGTAATCTGAGATAAGTTTGAAAGTAAAGGGGGTATGTACATAATTAAGCCTTTGATTTTTATTTTACCACGCAATAATGATGATTTTTTTAATTTAAAATAATAAAAAATAAAAAAAGAGACATCTTGCAGTATGTCGGCAAACTGCCTTCAAAATTAATATGTTATATCCCATCACTAACTTGTTCTTATCAAGAACAAAAACTTCGTTAATAATTTCTACATTCAAAATTATATCGTCACAAGGAGAAAGACAAAGAAAAAAAGATGTCATCATAATAATCAACTCTTTTACAAGAAGTCCAGTGCCAACAAGGTGGTTTAGACATTCAACTATGTCGGCAAACTGCACCTCTAGCTTTGTACTATATCCCTCCCCTTCTCATAGCTTACCTCTACCACTCAACCTTCAATGTTTCTAAAAACCAAAAAGAAAACAATACGTATCACCTATCCAAGCTGGTCCAGCAGTAGTTCAAAGAGATGGAGGGAGAGATTAGAGGTGTCAAACTGACTGGGCTAGCCCGACACGACACGGGCATGACCTCTATCTTAAGGTCGTGTCGGAACGAGGTAATTAGGTTCAATGGGCCGAGTCAGCCCATATCGACCCAAAATTCAACAAATCGACCCGTTTAAAGCTTATTTATTAAATTATACTTGTGTTTAGAGAAAAATAATACATAATATTATTACATTTATATCTTAAATTCGAGTCTATTTTTTTAAAGAATATATATTAAAATTTAATGTTTTCTTTATATATAACATAATTATTTTATTTTTCAAGTTTCAATTTTTAAAACTCAAATAATAATCTAGTCATTTTCTATTTAAATGTACTTTAAATAAAATTATTAACCTCTTTTTCTTAGCAAATAATAAATATTATTAGTATATACATAATTGTAAAAGAGATTTAAATGAAGTAGTAAAAAAATTATAAAAAAATGCAATACGTAAGTCAGATTTGGCTTGGGTCCATATCAGCCCGTTTAGTGGCCCAACACGAGAATGGCCTTAGCTCATATGAGCTCGAACTGTGAACTTAGGCTGAGATTGATGATTTTCCGAAATAGACGAATCCAACAAGGCCTATTTATTAAATGAACTGACTCTAAATAGATCAAGATGGCCCAACACAACCCGTTTAACACCTTTAGGAGATGCAGAGGATGGTCCCATTGAACCAGGCCCGGCCACTCTACACAATTATTTCATGGTCAGCTTGAAGTATGAACAAGTCCAATTTAAAATAACTTGGGCTGGCCTAGCATCATGCCACCGACGCTTGAAATAGAGACCCACCCCAAAACAAAAACAAAAAAGAGTCCAAGTTTTTATTCTACTTCTATTTCGTTATAATTGCAGCCAAAAAATAAATAAAAAAATAAACACACACACACAAGAAGTTATGGCTTCCGGAACCTTCCTAAAGGTGACGAGCCTCCACTCTCTTTTTCTTGAGAAGTCTATACACTCATAGAGCTGACAAGGTCTTCCACCATTTATAGGAAGCTCTCTGGTCTCCAAAAAAAACTGGTATGAAACGGGAATATCATTATTTTCCTATTAATGTGCTATTTTCGATCAATCACAGATTATCACGTGAAAAAATTATCATCCTTCATTGGCAGAGATAGCAAAATAGTAAGTGTTTCTCCTCTGGTCTGGTATATAAATTCAATTTATTCAGTCTTTTTTCTTTCTGGGTCTAATTTGAGACTTCAGTCTAAAGAAAGATACAGGAGGGAAATTAATACGAGAAACAAAGGGGAATTGTGCGTGTCAAATGTCAATTTCATTTCTGTATATGTTTTTCTTTTCACCAATTCAATTGGAACAATAATGATCATCAAAAAGGAAAATACAAAAAGCCCAGAACATAAAATCCGTCTAAGAAAGAGAGAAAAACAAAAATCAATAACAATACTTCAACTCCTGTTGAAGAGCTTGCTCAAGCCACAACCGAGACTCATCCATAAGCTCAGGGCTCAGTCTGAACATCAAAACACAGAACTCCATCTGATTAAGAGCCCCATCACCGTCGAAATCGCCTTCCTCCAACATGGACCGTAGATCATCATCGCTCAGATCCTGCAAGCCCAGCAGAGCAGAGTTCCGCTTGAGGCTCTCAAAGGTGATGACCCCCTTGTTAGAATCCATTAACAAATTGAACCCATTACAGAGCTCTCCGATTAAACCATCCCCACCAAGCTTGTCTGCCATGGTGGGCAGCAAATCTTGGAAATTGGATTGTGGGTTCTGCTGAGAAGCCATTGACAATCTGTAAATTGAGAAGAAGGTGAGAGAGAGAGAGTGAGGTAGAGAAGGTATGTTTGTTGGTTGGGGAAATAGAGATGCGGAAGAGTATATAAAGGAAGGGAAGAGGGGGGTTGGGTTTTCCAAGAAAGAGAGGCCATGGAAGACAACTCAGGGACAGATAAGGGGGAAGTCACTCGGTCTGTCTTTGCTGAAGCTGCCATTGGGTTTCTGAGAAGGTCGTGAGGGGTATAATCGTCAAAGGATGTTTAAAAGAAAGGATTATTATAAGCGTGGGTAGTGAGTGTGACCGCGTGATGGCCTTGGAGTTGGAGAATGCTTGGTCAAGAGAAAGATGCTGAGGGGTAAATAATGTCATTTAATAGGAAGGTGTCCTTGCATTTTCTTCCTTTCTTTTGTGGAAGGAAACAGATGGGATTTTAAGACCGGAGGCATTTTCCATTCTCTTTCTCACGTAATACCGTTGCTATTCGTGGTGTGGAAGTTTGCTAGAAGTTTGTGACAACTGACTAGGCTATTGTCAGCGAGGCAACTTTCCAAAAGCCAAAGATCAATTGTCAAAAATTATGGTCAGTTCAGCGTTACTCTTTGAACCATTTGATTTCCAGAAAAGATTTTATGTGAAATTATTTTTTATGTATTTTTTCTTTAAAGAATGGAAAATGAAATATTCTTTTCTCATATGTTTGGTAATGTTCAAACGAAAAGAATTTGATGTGAAATTTTTTTCATGTTTTTATTTATTTATCAAAGAATGGAAAATTGAAGATTCATTTCTCTTTCTTTTTTTTCTTTTTTGTCAAAATTTGTTTAAGCAAAATTCCGTATGGGGAATATTTCGCACATAGATTCTTTGACCCTCGAACTTTCTTTTCTTCTCCCTCGATCCCTATGAAAAAAATTGTAATAAAAGGTAAGGGCTCTCTATAATTTCCAATAAGTAAAAGGAAGTGTTGGAACTAACCTATTTCTAGTGAGTGATATGGAGCATTGAGACATGCTTATTTCCAACAAATAAAACTAGGCATCGGAAACTGATTATTTCCAATTGATAAAAATAAGTTTCTGAAACAACTTGTTCTAGCAAGTAAAAGGAAGTGTTGGAAATGGCTTGTTTCGAGCGAGCAATAGGGAGCCGCAGAATTGGCTTGTTTCCAGTGGATAATAGGGATGCGCTGGAAAGTATCTCATTTGCTTACCCATATGGGAGAACTTCCAATAATGGGCTTGGACTTTGGTGCTCCCAAGCAGCCCAAAGTCTCCATTATCTAATAGGTTTCTTGGGCCTTGTGGACCTCCGTATCCTACCAAACCATGACTCCTCATGTATGCCCCGTGAACTATATAACTTGGATTCATGTGAGCTTGGTAGATGATTTGGTATAGGAAAAATGTATTAGCTTTGCATGGATTTATTTGGCATGTGTTGCAATGGCTTGGGCTTTTGTGACATTGAAGCATTCTTGATGGTGACCAAGCTTAGTTAGATATCGGATTTAATGGGATAGGTTTGGCATGAGTTTCATCTTTTGGCATGATATGGATACTATTAGAATTTGTGTAAAAGCTTACGTACATATTTATTTTATTGAATTAATTCCTAAAATATAATTGAAATTAGCACATGACCAATTTATCTCTTTATTTCGTATTTCATATTGGACTTTAAATGCCCTTAGAATTCTCATGAATTTTTTGGCCTCAACACCATGATAGTCCATTATAGCTCTTCATGACCAAATAACACCCATTACAAATTAAAATGCACCTTTACAAAAAAAAAAAAAAAAAAAAAAAAAAAAAAGTAAATGGGAGAATTATTGAAAAAAAAGGTTAAACATATATATATATTTTATCATTGCATAAACGAATCATGGAAGGAGAATGAAGTATTTTTTTTATTTTATTAATTTCTATTATTGTGATATGAGCCATTTTGTCCCATTTGCACCAATGGGCTTAAGAATGACATTTTCAAAGAGTCCATTCTTTGGAACAATGAGGAACTTGTTAAATTGGTGAAAAGAAAATCTGATGTAACCACTCCTATAAATAACATGTCTACCCCTTCTTTTGAAGCTATTTTTGGAAGTTTACTTATTGCAGTATCAACGCACGTCATTACAATTTTCATCAAAAAGATCCCCAGTACATTCAACCAAACCATAAATTGAAATTTCGTTTACTAGTTTTATCGACCCATGAGCATGCAACAATCCACGAAGAACTTTAGAATTTAATCGAGTTAGCAACTGATGAACTTTATCCGTGTCAATTACATCAATGAAATTCGCATCTGAGTATACCTCCTCGATTGAGAGGGCAAATCATACGAATTTGTTGGTTTGCTCTACTGAGACAACTTTCGCATGATGCAACACTCTTGTCATTTAGAAAACTTCAAACATTGCACTAGCCCAAATATAAAAGTATTTTTTTTTCAATTATAGATTCAAATGTGTCATTGATGACTTCACTTCTTTTTTTTTGAAAAGGTTGATTTCATTCCATTAGGAGGGGGGAATAGAAGGCATGTAAAGTATGGTCTTGTTGAAACCTTTCCGGGGAAAACCACAAGGGAAAAACCCCAGAGTAGGAAAGAGTACCACATATGCCGATAACATACACAACAAGAAATTTACATAGCATCAATGAACAAAACATCTTGTAGGAACTCTAGGGGATCAGCAACCCATTCTGCCGCTCCTTGAAAGTGTCAAGCATAGCGAGCCAACCGAGTTGCAACCCCATTTGCACTCCTCTCTGTATACCTCAAATAGACACGCTCTTGGCTGGCCAAAAGTGTTTTACAATCCTCAGTTAGGCAACCAAGATGGGACAGATCAATTTGGGCCTGTTGTACTGAGTGCAAAGCACCTTGAGAACCCCTTCTATACGACACTCCAGATTGGACCACTTGGCAGCATAGATTAAGCCTTCTCTTAATGCAACCAGCTTGGCATGCATGGGATTTGATATCCGATTTAGCACAACCAACTTGCATGCAAGAAAGGCACCTGTATAGTTACGCACCACCAAACCAACCCCACCAAAACTGGATTCAACATGAAACACTCCCCTCACATTTATTTTAATATCTCCAGGCGGTGGCTGCCCCCATTTAGCTCTGGCACGTGAGGTATGGGTCTTGGGAGGGGGGTTTACTTCCTGAAACTCTTGCAAACAGTGCATTGCTCCACTAACAATTTCTGTTGAACTCCGTTGACGTCCTGCCCAGGCCATTTGATTGCACTCATACCACAGCATCCACAAGCACACCATGACTTTCTCTAGCTCATGAAGTGGGTGGTCCGCAGCAAATCCTTGGAACCACATCTTGAACTCCACTGTGGAATCAATATTAAAGTGTGTCCAAGTTGGAAACAAAGACCAAGAAGCAATAGCCATGGGGCATTGGAGAAGCACATGGGCCACGGTTTCATCAGCCCCACAAAAAATGCAGCCTCCCAATTCAGAGATACCGCGATGAATCAAATTATCCTTGGTGGATAAAATATTCAAGAGAGCACACCAGATGAATATACGGACCTTTGTTGGTAGCCGGGCTTTCCAAATCTTCTTCCAAACATGTTCAAAAACTACAATTGGTCCTCCATTCGCGTTGGTGTCGTCCCCATCTTGCTGGAGCAAAACCCAACGAGCAACTTCATGCCCACTCCGAACTGTGTACTGACCACCTCCCTCAAAGTGCCAATGGTGGGTGTCTTTATGGAGACACAACGGGAGGCTTTATCATAAATAAATAAAACATCTTTTTTAAGTATGTATTTCGCCTGGATTTATAATAGTAGAGATTATTGCACAAATGAAGCATGGAAATAAGAATAAAGCTTATTTTCTTATTAATATAACTAGTACTTCGAAACACTGGAGTCATGTATTCCCATTTGTTGCACAAAGAAACCATTCTACATTCTACAGAGCACGCAAAAACTTGTCAAATTTGTAAAGATCAAATATGATGTAACAACTTCCGTAAATAGCGTGTCCACCGCTCATTCCATTAGTAACCTTCAAAAGTTCAATTATTCTAATATCAATGCACTTTTGGCATTCTATATAATAAAGGTCTTCAGTACATTGAACTGCACCATGGTAATATTTTTGATACTTTATGCCTCCCATGAGCTTCCAATGATCCATCGATAGCATTAGAACATAATTGAGTTAAAAATTCAAGCACATTGTTTTGAATAAAAATTGGATCACCAACATATTTGGGTTTCACCAAATAAACTCTGTTATTCATGTCACTTTTACCATATAATTATGCATCTGAGTATTTAATGATGCAACTTGCTATCCAAATTATAGCTCCTCGGTTGAAATGGCAATGCTTGCGAATTTCTAGGCCTTCTCTATTAGAGCATGTCCACCCAAAAAGGCTAAGGTTAAGGCAAAGGCTGCTACTATTCACGTGAATAGTGGCAGCCTTGCTTTTTTTGGTTCCACCCCAAAACGCTAGGGCAAGGGCAAGAAAAAAAAAGAATATGCAACAAAATATAAACTTGTTATGTATTTATAGGAAAAGTGAATAAAATTGTTATGTATTTATAGGACAAACATCCATAATTTTTGGGTTTTTTTTATGTAAAAAAATTGATTTTTTTTTCCATTTTTTTCAATTTTTTGAATTTTTTTTTGCTCGCTAACTTCAACGCCTTCAGGCTAAAGCCCAGGCAAGATCTGCCCTTGGGCTTGCCCGGGCAACATCTTCTGCGTTGGAGGTCCATTTTGAGCTGGGGGGGGGGAGGCAAGAGGCCCTGCACTGGAGGTGCTCTTAAGGCAACTTTTGCATGATGTGTAGTGTGTCATACAAAGAAAATTTCCAACATTGTCCTAGCCCATATGAAAAGGTATTTTGTTCTGTTGGAATTTTAAAAAAGTTTTAAAATTTAACTGTTTTGAGTTATTTAATTATTTTAGTTGTTTTATTTTATTTATTGTGGGGGTTATACATATTTTATTTTCATGTATTATTTCTATATTGAATGCCTTAATTTTCTGGTTTAATGTGGTGAATGTTACATGTTTTTGGATGCCTATAAAAGACCACTCATCCTTCACATTTGATATACTATCAGAATATCACATACCACAATCACCACCACAATTGGTTGGTGCCAGTTCTGAAGTTCCACCGGAACTTCATGTAGCAGAGTATCTGATGGGAAGTTAAAACTTTGCCATATGTAGCTTTCTGAAGCTGTTTCTGCCATGTCTCCGACAACAAGATTTCCAGTCTCCAAAAGCTGCAAAACAGGATCTTCTGCTACTTGGGAAGAGGTGGAAGACCAAATAGTGTTATTCATTTGGTCTTTAAAAGTACCAGACTTCTATGTGGGAACTCCATAAAACGGCGAGTCTCAAATAAGAGTCGCTTTGGGCGACTTTGAATAGCATTTGTGTGAAATTTATTATGATGATAATGATGTTGGGACCTTAAAGTATGCCTAATGCTAATTGACTTTTAATCGTATGTAAAAGAAAGTGAAGGAAAAATTTCAAGAATGTGTGCTTTGACCAAAAACATATTTCTAGAATGTGGTCCAGCGACTTTGGAGGGAGATGTTTGTGTTTCTAATTTACAAGCCAAAAAAATATTTTTAGTTGTTTCTATCAATCAACTTATCACAAAGATATAACTATTAATTATTTGTTTCTAGAATATTTTCCTGCCTTATAATATATTTTCGTTGACTCATACATCTACTTCATAATTATATACTTGTCAAACTTGGCCTACGAAATTGAAACTCTCCTCAACCAATAAGTTTGACTGACAAACAGCCAAGTCAAAATGTATGTGTGAACTATCTAGCCACCACCGTTGAAATAGTAATTGTTTCTCCGGTGTGGCTTCTTCCGTTGCTGATTAGGTTGTCGTTACCCGTGGAACTTCTTTCTGTGAAGAAACCAGGCTCCTTTGGTTGAGGCAATATTGCTCCCTCGTTGCCTAACATGAACACCACGGATGACATTGCTGGTCTGTCCAAGGATAGCTTTTGAACACATAATAGACCAATTTGAATGCATCTTAGCACATCAAACTTCACATATGAGTTATCCAAACATGAATCCATTAGTTCCAAACCTTTGTTTTTGTTCCACAGTAGCCATGCCTGGAACAAGTGCAAAGTTATATGCCTTTAGTCAAACATACGGAAAACTAGAGGTACAATATTAGTTGGCACATATAACCATATATAATGCAACACGTACATGTCCCAGAAGAGTGTGATGGTGATCTGGATGATGAAACCCTCTGTTCTTTCTGCCACTTACTATCTCTAACAAAAGCACTCCAAAACTGAAGACATCGGATTTCATTGAAAACTTCCCATCAATTGCATACTCAGGAGACATATATCCGCTACATGAAAACAACCAAACTTAAGTACTTGTTCATAATTGGAAATGAAGACATTCATAATAAATGCTGCTAGAACTCACTATGTCCCAATGACTCGTTTTGTTTTTGCTTCAGTTTGATTGCGGCCAAAAATCCTAGCTATGCCAAAGTCAGATATTTTGGGGTTCAGCTCATCATCAAGTAAGATGTTGCTGCTCTTCAGGTCCCTGTGAATGATTCTTAATCTGGAGTCTTCATGGAGGTAGAGAAGTCCTCGTGCAATTCCCATGATGATGTCAAATCGCTTTTGCCAATCAAGCAATGCCTTTCTACTTTGATCTGCACTTGAAACAATTTTGGTTCAGATTTCCTACTCTGTAACATAAACAGAGCTGCACAAGATGCCGTTTAATCGTATACATTGCACTAGAAAGTAGAAATTAAGATGAAGGATAAAAATCAGACCGAAGATAAAGCAGTCTAAGCTTTTGTTGGGCATGTACTCATAGATAAGCATCCTTTCTTCTCCTTGGATGCAACAGCCCAAAAGTTTAACAAGATTCCAGTGTTGAAGTTTTGCTATCATTGTAACTTCATTCTTAAACTCTTCAATACCTTGCCCAGAATCTTTTGAGAGTCTCTTTACTGCTATGAATTCTTCTGGGGTCAGGTTGGCCTGAAATTTTAGTATAAATGTGTTAGCTCATATGTTCATACATAACGACGTCAACTATAGCTCTGTTACCTTGTAAACTGGACCGAAACCTCCCTCTCCTAGTTTGTTTGTGTGAGAGAAGTTATTGGTGGCGGTTGCAATTGTATCAAAATCAAACAGTGGCAACTCCAAGTCCTCCTTACTGTCTCTTGATGCTGTAAATTGAAAAAAAACGAGGAAAGGAAAATATGGGCAAAGACAACGAATTAATGCAATGTAATTGTCTTAATTTGATTTTATATTAACTCTTCTTGCAAACTTAATTCAGAATGCAAAAGCAAACATAGATATATATTTCAAAGACAGTGTTTTAGTCAATGCATAAGATTTCCTCAAGCATATATACAGGTTTCCACAAATATATTAGCAAGGTGCATATACATGCTTACCTCTTTTCTTTTGTCTCTTCTTCAGAATTATACACCAGCAAGAAAAACCCAAAAAAATAAGCAAAGAAACTGCGGACAGAACCAAGATGAGTACTACCCTTTTACCCTTCCGACTGCTCTTACCTGAAGATCATATACAAGATAACATTAACAAGGTGAACCACACTGTACAGAGTATTTTCTTCTGTCATGGTGTATTGCCAATTCAGAAGTTGTTCATGCATTTAGGCCTACCTCAATTAAAGCATAAACAAAGTTCCCAAATTTTGAGCCTTGCAACATACAATTTTAAAGCAGTAAGTCCATGCAACTGCTATTCCTAAGCCCTTACATACAGAATCTTTAGGATTAAGCGCATGGCTTCACAAGATCAGAGGCTAACTTTACTAAAGCAAAATACTCACTTAGCAGTCTTACCTAGTTCTGAAAATGGCATCCGAATATATATATCTTGCTCACTATCATCTTCATCGAACTCTCGCATATCAATTAAGGCGCCAGACCACATCAGACAGCCACTACCTCCCTTACTGATATCTGATTTAGCATAAGCTACACAAGAACAATTCTTCAAGCACTCTGCCTTGCATTCATCGATGCTAGTGCTCGGGATCACCCTAAAATCCAACTGGTCAGGCAGTTTCACATTTCGAATTCTCAGAAAGTCTTCTCCCTTCTGGCAATTCAGTGGTGTTCCCCTCCTGCACCCACTTGTCCAATTAAGCAACCCCCATTCGTTCCATGATTCTGGGACAAACCCATGCAAGCACTCACAAACAGGTGATTTGTTAATTTTACAAATGCTATTTGCTCCACACACTCCATAATTATCACACTGATTATTCTGCAAAGTATACATAACAGCCCATGTAGTGCTTCCTTCCTTGACCACTAGCCGCTGGATACCCGATTCACTCAGCTTCAATCTTGTGACAACAGATTTATCAACAGCCTCGTATGAATAGTATAGATCAGTAGTATTATACACAAAAATTGGGTGCACAACTTCGTAGGAAACTGATGAACCAGGAGTACCTGTAAATCGAAGACCGTTCCATGGTCCTGTACGAAACTGTTTCTTTGATCCTTTGGCAATAACAAGCTGAGGCAACGGAACATTATCCATCCCGTAAGTATATTGTCCAGGAGATGGATCACTAACATTTTTCCAAGAAGTCAAGAATCTGTTGTGGCCTGTCCTGAAGTTCCACCCCAACTTCATGTCTTGCAGCAGAGTGTCTGATGGGAAATCGAAACTTTCCCATATGTAGATTCCTGAAGCTGTGGCAGCCTTGTCTCGGACAACCAGGTTTCCAGTATCCAAAAGCTCCGCAACAGGATCTTCTGCTACTTGGGAAGAAGTGGAAGACCAAACAGAGTTGTTCATTTGATCTAAAAGGACCAGACTTCCATTTTTGACAGTGTCAAGGATCCATATGAATATACAAGTGGTTTTTCTCTGTTGGCTACCCAGACAACAACATCTGGAAAATTCTTGTACCATATTCCCAAATACCATGAAGAATTACCAGGAGAGAAAAGCCCTAACTCAAAGCTCTGCCCAGATGAAACCAAGGTATCAGAGCCTATGATGGGTTTTGATGGGGATATCGTATCAGCTGCTGTGGCCAATTGTAAGACTAAGAACTGGAGCAGAGAGGTGAAGAAGATGAAAGGAAGGCCCTTCATCTCTGTTCTCTCTGTCCAGAATGGTTTTTTTGGACCTTAATGTTTGGACTTTGCAGCCGCCATCTGACTAGTAAAATTATCATAATGGTTGTTGGACTTTTTGACAACGTTTTTGTGGTAATAATTATATATAACAAGACCCTTCTATCAAATCAAGCACAGGTTGAGGGAGAGGTCACGGTTCTTCTGGACAGACAGTGCTCCCCCTTGGCTTAGCATACCCTCTGGATAAGGATATTGGAGTAGAGTCTTGTATGTTTTATTTGAGGTGCGGTGGTGCTATTTTTTCTTGACCGGATTTTCCTCCTTTGGGTTTTTAATGGCAAGGTTTTAACAACGCCACAATTACGCCGTCCGTTCTAAAGGTCCACTTTGATCAACTACATGTACGTGTCATATAACTCTGGAAATGATAATTTGATACAATTCTCAATTCACCTCTCATGCATTGAGGCCAACCTCTTTCTTTGCCTGTTACTTTGCAAATACATCAGTTTATCTGGCTTCCACCGCTGTAATGGTGATTGTGGTTCCAGTGTGGCTTCTAACTTCACCGAGTAAGGTATCAATGTCGGCGAAGCTTCTTTCTATGAAGAAACCAGGCTCCATTGGTTGAGGCAATGTTGCTCCCTTGTTGCCCAACATGAACACCACCGATGACATTGCTGGTCTGTCTGCCGGCATCTTTTGAACACATAATAGACCCACTTGAATGCATCTTTGTACCTCAAACTCAACATATGAGTCCTCTAAGCATTCATCCATTAGTTCCAACTCCTTGTTTTTGTTCCACAATAGCCATGCCTGGAAATTATGTGTATTTTGGTCATTTTCATGGAAAACTATGGTCTAACATTAGCAAACACCAATAAAAAATACCTACATGTCCCAGAAGACTATGATGGTGATCTGGATGATGAAACCCCCTGTTCTTTCTGCCACTTACTAGCTCTAACAAAAGCACTCCAAAACTAAAAACATCGGATTTTACCGAAAACTTCCCATCAATTGCATACTCAGGAGACATATATCCACTGCAAGTAAAAAGACATAATTTAAGTACTACATTATAACTGAACATGAAGGCATTGGTGAAATGTTTGTACAACTCACTATGTCCCGATTACTCGTTTTGTTTTTGCTTCAGCTTGATTGTGCCCGAAAATCCTTGCTATGCCAAAGTCAGATATTTTAGGGTTCAGCTCATCATCAAGTAAGATGTTGCTGCTCTTAAGGTCTCTGTGAATAATTCTTAATCTGGAGTCCTGGTGGAGGTAGAGAAGTCCTCAAGCAATTCCCATGATAATGTCCAATTGCTTTGGCCAATTCAGCAACACCTTTCTATTTTGATCTGCACAAGTTAGCCATCACATGAGTTCGTTTGGTTCAATTTTCCTCCTGTCACATAAACAGAGCTGCATAGGACTCTGTTTAATTGCATAAATTTCATTGGAAAGTAGTGAAATAAAATTTAGGTTACGTAATTAATCCGAAACGTGAAGGAAAAAATCTCCTACCGAAAATAAAGCAGTCCAAGCTTTTGTTGGGCATGTACTCATAGATCAGCATCCTTTCTTCTCCTTGGATGCAGCAGCCCAAAAGTTTAACAAGATTCCAGTGTTGAAGATTTGCTATCATTGCAACTTCATTCTTAAACTCTTTAATACCTTGACCAGAATCTTTTGAGAGTCTCTTTACTGCTATGAATTCTTCTCGGGTTAGCTTGGCCTGAAATTTTAGTATAAATATGTCAGCTCATAAGTTCATGCACAACGACGTCAACTATCGGTCTGTTACCTTGTAAATTGGACCAAAACCTCAATCTCCAAGTTTATTTGTGCGGGAGAAGTTATTGGTGGCGGCTGCAGTTGTATCAAAATCAAACAGTGGCAACTCCAAGTCCTCCTTAGTGCCTCTTGAAGCTGTAAAACGACAATACAAAAAGAAAATTTATGACAAAGACAAAGAAATTAAAATGAATTAATATATTACTCATCTTGGAAACTTAGCAAGGTCACCATATGCATGCTTACCTCTTCTCTTTCCTCTCTTGTTCAGAATTATATAGCAGCAAGACAAACCCAGGAAAAGAAACGAAGAAACTGCAGATATGACCAAGATGATTACTACTCTTTTATCCTTCCTACCGGTCTTCCCTGAAGATCATATACAATAAAACATTAATAAGCTAAACCACAATATTTAGTATTATGATTTCTTTGGTAAATTTTACACAGAACATTCTTGTGGTATAATGTCTTTCCACGTTATATTGAAACATACACAAAGCACACTACTTTTGACCTTTTCAATTTGAGCCTTTCAACATAAAATTGAAAGCACGAAATCTATATATTTGATGACCTGAACATTCCTAGTGCATCCTAAAACCTTATGTACTGCATCTTCAGGATTAAGGATTTGACTTTATAAGATCAGGAGCTAACATTACTAAAGCAAAATACTCAATTACCTAGTTCTGAATGTGGCAGCCGAATGTATATATCTTGCTGACTATCTTCTTCAACGAATTCTCGCAGATCAACTAGGTCGCCAAACCACATCAAACAGCTGCTGCCTCCATTAATGATAACTGTATTAGCATAAGCTACACAAGAACAATTCTTTAAGCACTCTGCTTCACATCCGTTGTTACTAGTGCTATTGTTGACCAAAAAATTCAACTGGTCTGGCAGCTTCACATTTTGAACTTTCAAAAACCCTTCTCCTTTCTGGCAACTCAGTGGTGTCTCCCTGATACACCCACTTGTCCAATTCAGCACTCCCCATTCGTCTGGTGATTTCGGAACAAACCCATGCAAGCACTCACAAATGGGTGATTTACTAATTCTGCAAATGCCATTCGCTCCACACTGTCTATAACTATTACACTCATCATTCTGCATAGTATACATAACGGCCCATTCAGTGCTTCCTTGGGTGACCACTAGCCGCTGGATCAAACCCGATTCACTCAGCTTCAATCTTGTGATGGTAGAACTATTAAAAGACTCATATGAATAGTACAACTCATTGGTATTATACACAAAAATTGGTTTCACGACAGATCTGTATGTAGCTGCTAAACCAGGAGTACCAGTAAACCAAAGACCATTCCAAGGTCCGGTTCGGAACATTTTCTTTGATCCTTTGGCAATAACAAGCTGAGGCAACAGAACATTATCCATCCCATAAGTATATTCTCCAGGAGAAGGGTCGCTAGCATTTTTCCAAGAAGTCAAGAATCTGTTAAGGCCTGTCCTGAAGTTCCACCCCAACTTCATTTCTGGTAGCAGAGTGTCTGATGGGAAATTGAAACTTTCCCATATGTAGCTTTCTGAATCTGTTGTATCCTTTTCTCTGACAACCAGGTTTCCATTCTCCAAAAGTTGTGCGACAGGGTCTTCTGCTACTTGGGAAGAAGTGGAAGACCAAATAGTATTGTTCATTTGGTCTAAAAGGACAAGACTTCCATTTTTGGATAATTTCAAGGATCCATGTGAATCTGCAACTGGATTTTCTCTGTTGGCAACCCATACAACAATATTTGGAAAATTCTTGTACCGTATTCCTAAATACCAGGCCTCTGGATTGCCAGCGGAGAAGATTCCTAATTCGAAGCTTTGGCCGGAAGAAACCAAGGTATTAGTGCTGGTGATGGATTGTGCTGCAGAGATTGTATCAGCTGCTCTGGACAATTGTAAGACTAAAAAATGGAGTAGAGGGGTAGAGAGGATTAATGCAAGGCCTTCCATTTGTGTTCCTTGTCAAGAAATGGGAAGGTGACTGGAACTTTGGACTTTGAAGCCAGCCCTTCTCAATGTTACAATTATTATAATGCTATTTTGACCACCACATTTTCTATGCTAAGTTGCCAGCTGACTTTCAATCTTATAGGCTTGAAACGTTTGACCAAAAAAGAGAGAGCAAAATTGAGGGAGTAAATGTCAACTTCTTTGTCCAGAACAATCGTAAAAGATAAACCCTAAATCCCTGAACTTGCTATGGTACTACCATGTGAGCATATAGGAGAACAATCCTTTTATGACTTGTTATTCTTTTGTATCACTCACAAACTCACCTAGTCACAATTTTACAATGTACTTCTTTCGCATTTGATGAATGAACTACGAAATCATTGCTTAGGGGCAATCATGCCAAACTTCAGGGTCTATTGTGTGGTTAAACCTTTCATGAACCTAGTAAACAAGTAATTTTTCGGTGTGATCGTAATACCATCATGTAAAGGGCTTAGGCTACTGTGCACAAGTGAGCCCTCCCGAGTTTAAGCCCACTACCACTATAAGTTAACATTTCCCCCTTGAATTGAACTCCTCTGTTCCCTTTATTTCATAGCTTTTTAATGCTGAGCTGATCATACAGCGAAGAGACACCTTCAACAGACAGCAACTATATCTGCTGTGAACTGGCACTGATTTCTTCATAAATACTTGGTCAAATATCTGGATTTTATGGATCATTTGTGAATTTTTTATTGAGGGTTGGATGGCATTACTATTATTAGGGAAAATGATGCAGATTGGGTTGACTGTTCTTGGGTGTGGTCACGATTGCGATAAACAAAAATTCATCACCTCCTGCTTAAATTCAGATATTCTTCTCGGAAGGAAAGAAACCATAGTTGCATAAAATATTCAGCAGGAACATATAATTCACATACAGTACTTTAGTTATTTTGACCAATTGAATACAATTCTATAGCCACTCCCATATTCAATCTCGTGGCTGCCGGTCTCTTACAATGCAATACTACATGTTTATGATGCTTGTGCCTTACTCTGTAAACAGTAGTTAGTCCAGATTTACCTTTTACTTTTCTGAATCAACCTCCCATTGAGGTTATGCCTTTCTGTCTGTTTGCAAGCAAATTCATCAGCATCCATCTCAAAATGCATTAAATCCTAATTATGAGTCCAAGTTGCCAGGTGTCAGTTATCTAGCTTCCACTGTCGAAATGGTAATACTGCTTCCTGTCTCACTTCTACCTTCGTCGATTATGGTATCGTCCAGGGAACTTCTTCCAGTAAAGAATCCTGGCTCCTTTGGTTGAGGTAATGTTACTCCTTCATTGCTTAACATGACAACCACTGATGACATTACTGGTCTGTCTTTTGGAAGCGCTTGAACACACAATAGACCTACCTGAATGCACCTCAGCACCTCAAACTCAACATATGAGTACCCCAAGCAAGGATCTATTAGCTCCAAACCCTTATTTTCATTCCACAGTAACCATGCCTGGAACAATTCAAAATTATATGGCTTTAGTCATACCCATGGAAAAACTAGAGGATCAAAATTAGCACACGCATATAAGCATTAAATACCTACATGTCCCAGAAGACTGTGATGGTGATCTGGATGATGAAACCCTCTGTTCTTTCTGCCACTTACTATCTCTAACAAAAGCACTCCAAAACTGAACACATCGGATTTCTCTGAAAACTTCCCATCAATTGCATACTCAGGAGACATATATCCACTGCATGCAAAAATACACAACTTAAGTACTTAATTAATTACTGTTACAGAAATGAAGATTCCTTTCATGGTCTAGGTTAGTGTACTCACTATGTCCCAATTACTCGTTTTGTTTTTGCTTCGGTTTGATTGCGTCCAAAAATCCTTGCTATGCCAAAGTCAGATATTTTGGGGTTCAGCTCATCATCAAGTAAGATGTTGCTACTCTTAAGGTCTCTATGAATGATTCTTAATCTGGAGTCTTGGTGGAGGTAGAGAAGTCCTCGAGCAATTCCCATGATAATGTTCAATCGCTTTTGCCAATTCAGCAAAACCTTTCTATTTTGATCTGCACAAGTTATCCATCACATCAGTTCATTTGGTTCAGTTTTCCTCCTTTGTGACATAAACAGAGCTAAATAGGACTCTGTTTAATTGCATAAATTTCACTGAAAAGTAGCAAATGAACATTTAGGTTACGTAATTAATACGAAACATGAAGGACATAATCTTATACCGAAAATAAAGCAGTCCAAGCTATTGTTGGGCATGTACTCGTAGATAAGCATCCTTTCTTCTCTTTCAATGCAGCAACCCAAAAGTTTAACAAGATTCCAGTGTTGGAGGTTGGCTATCATTGTAACTTCATTCTTAAACTCTTCAATACCTTGCCCAGAATCTTTTGAGAGTCTCTTTACAGCTATGAATTCTTCTCGGGTTAGGTTGGCCTGAAAATTAAGTATAAATATGTTAGCTCATAAGTTCATGCACGCTAACGTCAACTATAGCTCTGTTACCTTGTAAACAGGACCAAAACCTCCCTCTCCTAGTTTGTTTGTGTGAGAGAAATATTGGTGGCGGTTGCAATTGTCTTAAAATCAAACAGTGGCAACTCCCAGTCCTCCTTAATTGATCTTGAGCCTGTAACATGAAAAAGAGAAAAAGAACAAAGGAAAAACATTATTATCCAATGACAATGGCTTTAATACATAAGATTTCCTACAGGGTGCAAAGGTTTAGATTCCTGCAAATGCAAGCTTACCTGTGGATGTGGATACATTCCTTCCTCTCTTCTTCAGAAATATACACCAGCATAACAAAGCCAGAAGAGGAAGCACAGAAACTGCTGATATGACCGAGATAAGTATAACCCTTTTGTCCTTCTTGCCGGTACCACCTAAAGATTATGTTATGTAATGGATAACATTTAGGCATGCCAAAATTCCTCTAATCTTATGTACTGCATGTTAATGATTAAGGGCTTAAATTAACAGGATCAGGATCTAATACATTATAAAAGCAAAACAATGACTTACCTAGTTCCGAAAATGGCATCCTAATGTGTATATCTTGCTCAACATGTTCTTCAAGGAACTCTCGCATATCAATTAGGTCGCCAAACCACATCAGACAGCCACTTCCTCCATTACGGATATCTGAACTAGCATAAGCTACGCAAGAACAATTCCTCAAGCACTCTGCCTCACATTCCTGCACACTCATTTTTGTGTTCGCCCAAAACTCCGACAGGTCTGGCAATTTCACGTTTCGAACTTTCAAAAACCCTGCTTCCTTCTGGCAATCCAGTGGTGTCTGCCTAATGCACCCACTTTCCCAGTTAAGCACATCCCATTCGTTTTGCGATTTTGGAACAAACCCCTGCAGGCACTCACAACTTGGAGACTTGGAAGTTCTGCAAATTCCATTTGCTCCACACTCCCTGTAATTGTCACACCTGTCATTCAGCAAAGTATACATAACAGCCCATTCAGTGCTTCCTTCATTCAGCACTAGCCGCTGGGCCAAACCAGTTTCAGACAACTTCACTCTTGTTAGAATAGAACTCTCAGCAACCTCATACGTATAATAGAACTCATTGGTATCATACACATAGATTGGTTTCACAACTCGTTTGTTCCCAGAATCAGGAGTACCAGAAAATTGAACACCATTCCAAGGCCCGGTACGGAACAATTTCTTTGATCCTTTGGCAACAACAAGCTGAGGCAACGTCAGATTATCAATCCCATAGGTATATTCTCCAAGAGATGGGTCACTAGCATTTTTCCAAGAAGTCAAGAATCTGTTCAGGCCTGTTCTGAAGTCCCGTCCAACCTTCATTTCTGGCAGCAGAGTGTCTGATGGGAAATTGAAACTTTCCCATATGTAGCTTTCTGAATCTGTTTTATCCTTTTCTCTGACAACCAGGTTTCCATTCTCCAAAAGTTGCGCAACAGGGTCTTCTGCTATTTGGGAAGAAGTGGAAGACCAAATAGTATTGTTCATTTGGTCTAAAAGGACAAGACTTCCATTTTTGGATAATTTCAAGGATCCATGTGAATCTGCAACTGGATTTTCTCTGTTGGCAACCCATACAACAATAGTTGGAAAATTCTTGTACCATATTCCTAAATACCAGGCTTCTGAATTGCCCGCGGAGAAGAGTCCTAATTCGAAGCTTTGGCCGGAAGAAACCAAGGTATTAGTGTTGGTGATGGATTGTGCTGCAGAGATTGTATCAGCTGCTCTGGACAATTGTAAGACTAAAAAATAGAGTAGAGAGGTAGAGAGGATTAATGCTGGAACTTTCATTTGTGTTCCTTTCCAGAAACGGGAAGGACTTTGAAGCCAGCCTTTCTCAATGTTACAATTATTATAATGCTATTTTGACCACCTTATTTCCTATGCTAAGTTGCCAGCCGACTTTCAATTTTCTACGCTTGAAACTTTTGACCCAGAAAGAGATAACAAAATAGAGGCTCAAGGGACATTTTGGAAAAAGCAGAGAGAGAAATTTTAAAAGAAGCAAAAATGGACAAAAATGCATTTATTTATTTTTAGATTTTCTAAGAAATCCAATACATTTGCATGTCTTTGATTTGAAAGTTGAGCGGTTTTTTTGTCTTTTTTGAAAAAGCTTTGGCTTTTTCCAAAAGTGAAAATTTTTTTATGTCTAAAACCTAAAAAACCTAAATCTCTCCTCAACTTCTTTGTCCACACCAATCGTAACTGATGATCTCTAAGTCCCTAAACTTGCTATGATACTACCATGTTAGCATATAGGAGAACAATCCTTTTATGACTTGTTATTCCTCTGTATGTTGGAGGAATTTGTACAAGATATGTACAAAGCTTCTATCACTCACAAACTCACCTAGTCACAACAGTGGCAATTTATAATACAACCCGTTACACGACTCGAAACCCACACGGAAAAAACATGACTTGAACCCGCACGATTAATGATTGGGTAATTTTCGAGTCAACTCGATATAACCCGTTTATTAAACAAGTTGATTTCGGGTCAACCCCACCAACCCGCTAAAATACATGTTTAACCAGTTTATTAAACAGGTCGTGTCAACCCTTGTAATACCTACCAACCCACTAAAAAATTAAAGGAAGTGGAGACTTCAGCACACATGCCACTTTCATTCCTCTCCAGCACCTTATCCACCATGCTACAAACAATTTTCTAATTATATGCTACACTATTTGCTATTTATAATGTTTCTACAAGTAGTTTTTTAAAGAAGTAGAATTTCTCTCTCTTTTTTTTTTTTTTTTTTTTTTTTTTTTTCTTTTTCTCTTTTTTTCTTTCTTTTCTTTCTTTTCTTTTCGGAGCTGAAATTACAGAGATGTGTCTTTTACAAACCCCAAGCAGCCCCCGCAAATTAGACCAGGCATTTGTGTCGTTTTTGTGTTAACCCGCTTTTCTTAATGGATTAACACGACATGACACGATAAGAAAACTGGTTGAAAATGTAATACCCCAAAAAATTAAAAGTGGACTTTCGTATTTCAGTGAAAAAAAAACAATATTATGGTGAAAAATAATTATGGGTAGTTTATCAAGTGATTTTGGATTGAGACTATTAGATTAAGTGTGTTTAATTGCAAGTTGGACAAAAATGCCCTTACGTAACATTTTGTGTATTTTTCAAAGGACATTTAAGACATTGAAGTGAGACCATTATAATTGGTAGGTAGTACGATACTAGTTGACTCAATGAACATATAGGAAATAGCTTCTGAATTTTGGGTCAAAATGTCAAAATACCCTATGTGTGAAAATTACCAAAATACCCTTGTAAGCTAAAAACAAAAAACAGAATCTGAAACGTGGAGAGCATCAACCCACCCTCCTCCCATTCTTCCCCCTTTGCCTCAAGCTTTCAAATTCACCATTATGAAAGGATGACTCACCTACCCTAAACCCTATGTGTGAAAATTACCAAAATATCCTTGTAGGCCAAAAACAAAAATACAAATTTATAAATAAACCAAATCCTAGACATGTATTTATAAAAAAACCAAAGCACTATTTAAACATAGAAACACACCCAAAATCAACAATTGTATATTTTTTGGGTGTGTTTATAAATGGGTTTTGAGTGTGTATAATGATGGGTTTTGGGTGTGTTTATAAAGTGTTTTGGGTGTTGGGTTTTTTTATAATTTCAACCCCCATTTTGGGTGTTTTAGTGAAACTCCCAAACAAAAAACAGAATCTGAAATGTGGCGGGCATCAACCCACCCTCCTCCTATGGGCTTAGGCTCTTACGCACAAGTGAGCCCTCCCGAGTTTAAGCCCACTACCACTATAAGTTAACATTACCCCCTTGAATTGAACTCCTCTGTTCTCTTTATTTTATAGCTTTTTAATGCTGAGCTGATCATACAGTGAAGAGACATCTTCAACAGACAGAGACTATATCTGCTGTGAACTGGCACTGATTTCTTCACAAATACTTGGTCAAATATTTGGATTTTATGGATCCTTTGTGAATTTTTTATTGAGGGTTGGATGGCGCTAATGCTCATCTCCTAGGTGAAAATTATGACAAGAATCAACAGAAAAACGTGCATGTCTTTCGTTATTGGTGACAACACTCTGCAATCAAACACTCAAAATGACCGTTAATTCATTCGATTTTCCATGCACATCGAGATTGACTAGCATTTCAGTTTTCATAAAGGTGAAGGTGGCTCTTGGATCACTAGTAACCAAGTTGTTGATAATATGTTTCAACTAATTAACCCCTAACTCCAAGTTGCTGATGTTATCTTTCAAAGGAGATTCACTATTATACCCAATACAGGAGCACAAATTATTAAAAAAAACCCTATATGAAATGGACTTTAGAAACACACCTAAAGCTCATTCACAACATAACAAAAAGACTTTTAACTTCTTTTAAATTACAAAAATGACATTGATTTATTAAAACAAACCCAATCCCAAAACTTCATAAAAAAGCCCAAAACATTGAATAGGGCATCAAAGTAATTTAATAATCAAAATTAAATTCAATAGGGCCATCTATCATTTTTTTCCCTTTTTTTTTTGTTTGTTTATAGAAATTAAATGGTGTATGATTTATCAATAATATTAGTGCTAAGAATAAGTATATGACTAAATACCATTCCGTGGTGTTCATGTTAGGCAACGAGGGAGCAATATTGCCTCAACAAAAGGAGCCTGGTTTCTTCACAAAAAGAAGTTCCACGGGTAACGATAACCTAATCAGAAACGGAAGATGCCACACCAGAGAAACGATTACTATTTCGACGGTGGTGGCTAGATAGTTCACACATGCATTTTGACATGGCTGTTTGTCAGTCAAACTTTTTGGTTGAGGAGAGTTTCAATTTCGTAGGCCAAGTTTGACAAAGCCCTGTATATAATTATGAAAGAGATGTATAAGTCAACGAAAATATATTATAAGTCAGGAAAATATTCTAGAAACAAATAATTAATAGTTATATCTTTGTGATAAGTTGATTGATAGAAACAACTAAAAATATTTTTTTGGCTTGTAAATTAGAAACACAAACATCTCCCTCCAAAGTCGCTAGACCACGTTCTTGAAATTTTTCCTTCACTTTCTTTTACATACGATTATGGTTCTTAAAGAAATGATTAAAGGTCAATTAGCATTAGGCATACTTTAAGGTCCCAACATCATTATCATCATACTTCCATGATGATAATCAAAAGTAATTTAATAATCAAAATTAAATTCAATAGGGTCAGCTATCATTTTTGGGTTTATTTATAAAAATTAAATGGTGTAGAGTTTATCTATAATATTAGTGGTAAGAATGGGTATATGACTAAATACCCCTGCTAGGGTCCCATTCTGTTCTCCACCGATCGAAGTTGGTCTCTGAAACTCTCCCCAGCCAATGAGTTTCAAGGATAAACTGAATTATTATTCACTCTGATCTAATCTCTTAACTCCCAGTCTTCTAAAGGAACCCATTAATTATCTGATAAACAGCCCAACTAAGGAGACATCCTTCTTGGGTGTGGTCACGATTGCGATAAACAAAAATTCAGCAACTCCTGCTAAAATTCAGCAATGCTTCTTGGAAGGAAAGGAACCACAGCTGAATAAAATATTCAGCAGGAACATATAATTCACATACAATACTTTAGTTATTTGACCAATTGGATACAATTCTGGTGGCAGCCGGTCTCTTACAATGCAATACTTCATGTTTATGATGCTTCTGCATTACTCTGTAAACAGTAGTTAGTCTAGATTTACATTTTACTTTTCTGAATAAACCTCCCATTGAGGTTATGCCTTTCTGTCTGTTTGCAAGAAAATTCATCAGCATCCATGTCAAAATGCGTTAAATCCTAATTATGAGTCCAATTTGCCATGTGTCAGTTACCTAGCTTCCACTGTTGAAATGGTAATACTGCTTCCTGTCTGGCTACTTCTACCTTCGTCAATTATGGTATCGTCCATGGAACTTCGTTCTGTAAAGAATCCTGGCTCCTTTGGTTGGGGTAATGTTACTCCTTCATTGCTTAACATGACAACCACTGATGACATTACTGGTCTGTCTTTTGGAAGCGCTTGAACACACAATAGACCTACCTGAATGCACCTCAGCACCTCAAACTCAATATATGAGTACCCCAAGCAAGGATCTATTAGCTCCAAACCCTTATTTTCATTCCACAGTAACCATGCCTGGAACAATTCAAAATTATATGGCTTTAGTCATACACATGGAAAAACTAGAGGATCAAAATTAGCACACACATATCAGCATTAAATACCTACATGTCCCAGAAGACTGTGATGGTGATTTGGATGATGAAACCCTCTGTTCTTTCTGCCACTTACTATCTCTAACAGAAGCACTCCAAAACTGAACACATCGGATTTCACCGAAAACTTCCCATCAATTGCATACTCGGGAGACATATATCCACTGCATGCAAAAATACACAACTTAAGTACTTAATTAGTTACTGTTACAGAAATGAAGATTCCTTTCATGGTCTAGGGTTAGTGTAACTCACTACGTCCCAATTACTCGTTTTGTTTTTGCTTCGGTTTGATTGCGTCCAAAAATCCTTGCTATGCCAAAGTCAGATATTTTGGGGTTCAGCTCATCATCAAGTAAGATGTTGCTACTCTTAAGGTCTCTATGAATGATTCTTAATCTGGAGTCTTGGTGGAGGTAGAGAAGTCCTCGAGCAATTCCCATGATAATGTTCAATCGCTTTTGCCAATTCAGCAACACCTTTCTATTTTGATCTGTACAAGTTATCCATCACATCAGTTCATTTGGTTCAGTTTTCCTCCTTTGTGACATAAACAGAGCTAAATAGGACTCTGTTTAATTGCATAAATTTCACTGAAAAGTAGAAAATGAACATTTAGGTTACATAATTAATACGAAACAAGGAGGACATAATCTTATACCGAAAATAAAGCAGTCCAAGCTTTTGTTGGGCATGTACTCATAGATAAGCATCCTTTCTTCTCCTTCAATGCAGCAGCCCAAAAGTTTAACAAGATTCCAGTGTTGGAGGTTGGCTATCATTGTAACTTCATTCTTAAACTCTTCAATACCTTGCCCAGAATCTTTTGAGAGTCTCTTTACAGCTATGAATTCTTCTCGGGTTAGGTTGGCCTGAAAATTAAGTATAAATATGTCAACTCATAAGTTCATACACTCTAACGTCGATTATCACTCTGTTACCTTGTAAACTTGACCGAAACCTCCCTCTCCTAGTTTGTTTGTGTGGGAGAAGTTATTGGTGGCGGTTGCAATTGTATCAAAATCAAACAGTGGCAACTCCCAGTCCTCCTTAATTGATCTTGAGCCTGTAACATGAAAATGAGAAAATGAACCGAAGGAAAAGCATTATTACCAAATGACAATGCCTTTGTCAATACACAAGATCTCTCCAGGATACAAAGGTTTAGATTCCTTCAAATGCAAGCTTACCTGCGGATGTGGATACATTCCTTACTCTCTTCTTCAGAAGTATATACCAGCATAACAAAGCTAGAAGTGGAAGCACAGAAACTGCTGATATGACCAGGATAAGTATAATCCTTTTATCCTTCTTGCCGGTACCACCTAAAGATTATGTTATGTAATAGATAACGTTGAGAAATTAAATCACAGATTTTTGTGTTTGATTTATTTGAGTAAATCTCACAAATTACTATTTATTTAGTTTGGTGTATTCATACTTTTATTATTGCCATTTCAGCAACTGCTCATGCTAATGTACTGCATGTTAATGATTAAGGGCTTCAATTAACAGGATCAGGATCTAAAAACATTATAAAAGCAAAACAATGACTTACCAAGTTCCGAAAGTGGCATCTTAATGTGTATATCTTGCTCACTATCTTCTTCAACGAACTCTCGCATATCAATTAGGTCGCCAAACCACATCAGACAGCCACTTCCCCCATTACGGATATCTGTATTAGCATAAGCTACACAAGAACAATTCCTCAAGCACTCTGCCTCACATTCCTCCACACTCATTTTGATGTTCACCCAAAACTCCAACAGGTCTGGCAATTTCACTTTTCGAACTTTCAAAAACCCTGCTCCCTTCTGGCAATCCAGTGGTGTCTGCCTAATGCACCCACTTTCCCAGTTAAGCACATCCCATTCGTTCTGCGATTTCGGAACAAACCCCTGCAGGCACTCACAACTTGGAGAATTGGAAGTTTTGCAAATTCCATTTGCTCCACACTCCCTGTAATAGTCACACCTGTCATTCTGCAAAGTATACATAACATCCCATTCAGTGGCTCCTTTCTTCAGCACCAGCCGCTGGGACAAACCAGTTTCAGACAGCTTCACTCTTGTTAGAAGAGAACTATCAGTAGCCTCATACATATAATATAACTCATTTGTATCATACACATAGATTGGTTTCACAACTCGTTTGTTCCCAGCATCAGGAGTACCAGTAAATCGAATACCATTCCAAGGCCCGGTACGGAACAATTTCTTCGATCCTTCGGCAACAACAAGCTGAGGCAACATCAGATTATCAATCGCATAGGTATATTCTCCAAGAGATGGGTCACTAGCATTTTTCCAAGAAGTCAAGAATCTGTTGAGGCCTGTTCTGAAGTCCCATCCAACCTTCATGTCTGGTAATAGTGTATCTGATGGGAAATTGAAGCTTTGCCATATATAGTTTTCTGAACCTGTATCAGCCTTGTCTCTGACAACAAGGTTTCCAGTCTCCAAAAGCTGTGCAACAGGATTTTCTACTATTTGGGAAGAAATGGTAGACCAAATGGTGTTATTCATTTGGTCTAGAAGGACCAAACTTCCATTTTTGGTTAATGTCAAGGCTCCATTTGATCCTGCAAGTGGGTTCTCTCTGTTTGCAACCCATACAACAGTATTTGGAAAGTTTTTGTACCATAATCCTAGATGCCAGTTTTTCGAATTGCCGGTGGAAAAGAGTCCTAATTCAAAGGTTTGGCCGGAAGAAACCAAGGTGTCTGAGCCCATGATGGACTCTAATGCAGATATGGTATCAGCTGCAGTGGACAAATTTAAGACTGAAAATTGGATTAGAGACGCAAAGAAGATGAGAGTAATAAGGCTCTTCATGTGGGACATTTTCTTTTTGAAGAAATGGGAAAGTGCTAGCTTAGCCTTGAAAAAACCAAATTGGAAGGAGGCAAGTATTTTGTACCTTGCAGGGCTTGTAGCAGCCCTTCCATTGTTGCTTGGTCTAAAATTATTGAAGTTTATTACAATGGTGTCCATAATTCCAATAGTTTTTTTTAATCACAAATTACTTTCAAACTGATATAGTTAAAGAAAGAAAATCAAAGAGATAAACTATTTAATAAATATAATATGATTAACCAAGTTTGAGTTTTGTGTTGTTTTCTTCTTAACCAATGTGCTTGTCAGCCGCTTCTTCTTTTTTAAATCCTTTTTCTTTGAATTGATGTTTACACAATTGCAAGATTTCTTGTTGACTTTGAGAAACTACATAACAAGGCACTGCTTTCTGTATAAGTTAGCGTCTATATCTGTTTGAATCTTTCTAAACCTCAGCTCACTAAGAAAATATTTGACCATTTGTTCCAAAAATCTTTTATTAAGATGGTGTTTGTTTGCATATGTGACTATTTCAATACATGAGATGTGTATCAATGTGTATACAAGTTGTGCATAATATATTATCATCATGGAGTGGAAAATAGAACCCTTGACCTAGTCGAGGAGGTCCATACGCCAATTATCTAGCTTCAACGGCTGTAATGGGAATTGAGTTTCCAGTGAGGCTTCTTCCTTCACCTATTACTCGTCAACCTTTCCGTTGTTTGTTGGTATTTTAGTACTATTGTAAAATTAATTTAAAAAGGGTAAATCGAAAAAGTCGGACGAATTCAAGACAGAATATTGGAGCAGAGAGACATGGAAGATGAAAGAAAAGCCCTTCATCTGATGTAGAAAGGGGACCAAACACCCAAAGCAAAGCAACTAACACATACTTCTAATCTGTCATTGACTGTATCAACAAAGGAGCTTCGGTCCCTTGGAGCATACGTCTCCTTGTGCAAGATATAAGGCTGCTGAGTTCTTACCGTGAAGAGGTTTCTTTCCAGCATGTCTTTCGGGAAGCTAACTTCACTGCTGATACTATCGCTGGTTTAGGTTATATTCTGAATCCTTCCCATCTTTGGGAGCATGGACTTCCTTTATGTTGCTCTGTTCCATTTCATTTTGATTTAGTTGGGCTTGCGTGCCCTCGTGGTTTCCAGTTGTAAGGTTTCACATTTTCCTATAAAAAAAAACAAAACAAAACTAACACACAGATTTTAAACAGACAGACAGGCAAAGCAACTAACATACTCTCAGAACATCACACCTTCTCCATCGAGGAAACCATCTTCTTCCAGCCCACCAAACCCTCTGAACACAAGGATATATAAAATGATAATTGAGTTATACAATTGAACAAGACTTTGAACATTCAGATCATGTTTTATGCACTGAATAACAATATAGGTTCTTCATTAGTCCTCTTTTCCTATTGGCATTACAACAAGATCCTATAACAAACAAGATAACATAAAAACTGGTAGTATCACAGAAAGATCATGTTTTATCGACCTTCCATCGATGTGGTTATTTCATTTTCTGTATAAAATTGTTCCCTTCTTGTCCTTGCCTCCAAATCAATGGAGCATCTTTCCAGAAAGAAAGCAGGTTGTTTAGGCTAAGCCAAACTTACTCCGTAGTTCGCCAACATGAAAACTGCAGATGACATTCCTGGCCTGTCTGCTGGGAATTTCTGAACACATAATAAACCCACATGAATGCATCTAAGTGCTTGAGATTCAATGCGGTATTCTTTCAAGCATTTGTCCAGCAGTTCCAAGTATTTGTCTTCATTCCGTAGCAACCATGCCTAATCAGTTGCAAAGCAACCTCTCCGCAGTGGGCCTCTTGTTCGGGTCCTGATCAAGGCAACAACCCACCAAGTCTTTAAAGGCCTTAGAGAACTTCTTGCTCTTGTAATTATTGTCGTGATGATTTCATAATCCGAGAAATATTAAACGAAAAAAATATTAGACTAAGAGGTAGTGAGTCTCAACTTGAACTCAATGGTTGAAGCTTTTTCTCTTCTCTTGCCATAAGAGAGATTTTGAAAGGGCACTCAACATGAGAGCGAGGTCCAGAAGTCTTATGGGCATGGTCATGGAGAGGCATCCTATATTGTTAATGTAATGTTGCTGTCCAGCCGAAACATATTGGGCTTAAATTATGTTGAGTTTAGGCTAGGCTAGGTTCAACCCAAACTTGTTGGGCTTAGCTCTAGTCATTATCAAACACAACTATTGGTGAAATTTCTTCCATATTATGGCTTCACTCTGTAGAACATCTAATTTGAAAGAAAACAGTAGAATTCTCTTATGAATAAAAGAAAAGGGCATTGCTTTGCAGGCTAGTGGTAGCAGGTTTGAATCTCTATGATATCATAGTAGTGTGAGTGAGAAACTCTCCCTCTCTTGTAGTTTAGACTATCGTTTGTAATCGAAAAAGAAAAGAAAATGACCTTGATTTGAAGAGCAGTGGTCTTAAGTTTGAACCATCTTGACACCTTAGTAGTGTGTGTGCGAGAAATCCCTTTCTCCTCGTAGTTGACTATTGCTTATATTAAAAAATAATAATAAGAACAATAAAAGCATACAAACCATATTATTAACTCAGAAAAATGGAAATTACATGGACAACGACCATGGCTCTATTGGCCTCGCTACATGAAAATAATAGAACCCAAAAAATAGAAAATAAAGGAAACTATGGCAGAGAGTAATGTGACTGATGGTGGAATGCGACCCCTGTCTTTCCTTATCAGCATCCCTTCAATGATAGGGTAGTTCATCAAAATGACATAAAAGGGTATGAACACTTGTATGAAAAATTTGTCCAACTCTCCCAAAAATATGACTCTAGAAATCCCAACAGCAAAGGAAGCCATGTTCAAGATCACCAGAGCAGCCATTGGAGCAAGAAATAATATTGATGTTTGGAAATCAAACACCCCCATATTGTAACGCTTGAGTTGCTCAACATCATCAACTTTGTTGGTTGGGAAGAAACTGGCTTCTCTCATGCCAATTTTCTTCATGAAGGCATCCCAACTGCCATATAAGTGAGATGTAACTGACTTCATCATCCATATCCTTTGCTCATTTGTCCAATGTCGAAATGTAAATCCCGTTGAGAGAACCTCGTATAAATGTTTCAAAATCGAGGATAGGAATACGAACGAAAATACGATGAAGTATGAATTTGAGACCTGCAAATCCAAGAAAAATACCAAAATATATTAGGATATTGCATGACACTAAATCAAATTGAAGATTTAAGGACGAGAATTATTTTTTTATGAGGATGGTTAAATAGAATGGATGACTATAAGACAAATATTTATATTGTTAGATTATCAAACTGTATATGTGATCCACACACTCAATCAAGAATAAACCAGCTCCCACTAGTAAAAATGACCTCAATATTCATGGATGTTTAATGTTTATCGTCCCCTAAATGAGCATAGATATAGTCAGTATAGGAACCCGTACATGTGCCCAATTAGGGGCCAATAACAACTAAACATCCATAACTATTGAGGCTTTTAACTGATGTCAAAATTTCAGATTCACAGTCTTTGTTGTCAGATAGCGTGACAAAAGATAGATTTGTTTTATTATATACAAGGATTTCCTTAAAGATAAGTACTCTTTATCTTGAATCATTTGCGCAAAAGATATTTGATAGGAAGAAACATTTTTAAAAAAAATTTAAAAAACTTTAATTACCTCTGGGTACAAAGGAATACCATTGAGTAGGCAGAGCTGAGGTATGGTAGCAAAGCACCACAATGGCAAGAAATAGAAAATGGGGAAAAGAGCAAGTTCGGCATAACACATGCTTTGAACGAAAGTGTATGTTTTCAAAGGGCCATATATAAGAGGACAAAACTTGGAGATAGCAACATCAACCAACCCAGAGGTCCATCTAGTCCCTTGGACTAAAAAGTCATCCAAATTGGTGGTGCCACTGCCCAAGAACTGTGGCCTTGGTGGATTACAATACACTGAAATCCAACCTCTGCAGTGCAAACGAAACCCTGTGAAGTAATCTTCCAGCACAGACCCATACATGAAACCAACCTGCCATAAATGAAAGAAAGACCACAATTACTATTATTATTATTATTATTATTATTATTATTAAGTTGAATTATTCAATGGGTATGGTTTTAATAGTATTTGTACTTGCCTCTTTCCCCCATTCGGTGCCATTTTCGAAGGCACAAGAGGCTAGAAGTTGGGCTTCATTTAGCAATGCTTTCTTTCTGTGGATGAGCATATCAGGCTTTTTGTTTTGGTGGAGGGATTTGATGAACTCATTGGATGGACCAAAAGATTGTCTAAGTTTCATGGGATCCCCATCTTGAAATTCAATAGTGAAACTAGTAGTTAGCTATAGAAACTTGTGTTTAATTATAACAAACAAGAAAGATAGATGTACATGGATGATTACAAATACACGCTTATATAATGTCTAAGAATATATATTATTAATAGATAAGAAGTTCGTAACTCAAATAGTTAACAGCAAAACATTTGCCTCTGCCCCAATGTCCTAGGATAAACTTGTCATGATAATAACATTTTAATTTTTATGGGTGATTGCAGATTGGTGTTTTCTTTTTCAAACCATAGCTTTCCTTGAAGCAAAGATTAATATAATCAAACTGAAATGATTGGTGTTGATGAGTTGACATAAACTGGGTGATTGACTGTTTGGTATTTATTAAGTGTGACCCGCAGTTGTACAACAAAGAATGACACATATTAATGATATGATATGACATGATATGATGCTAGCCAGCTGTAAAAGTATATATACAAAAACACACATGACGAATGCAAAACACACCTTCATGTATGGAGTTTGAACGTAAGGACAACCTCTTGATGTAATAGCCAGAACCAGACACACATGGCCCTCCAACCCCATCAAAACCTTGCCATAGCAGCTTTGAAAGTAATCAAGACCAACAAGTCAAAAAATTGTCTGACATATTGCACATAAAATTTATGATTCTCTTTAATTATATTTAGGGGATAATTTGTAATTAAATATATTAATTCATGTATAACTAAAGTGAAGTTTTGTCCTTGAATCCATACCCAAAATGTCGACCTCAGCTGACTGTCATAGATATCATTATTACTGATGTTGTGAAATTTTTGAGGGAATTGAACAAGTGCTAGGGAGGGTGATATCTCTGGGTCAAGATGGAAACACATTGCTTGCCGAGCCGAACTTGGATCATGGCAATGCATGTCACAATCTAGCCCTAATATGTAAGGAGAATTGCTTATCACACCAGAGACCCGTAGCTGAAAAACAATAAGTGCACAATATATTAAGTTACACCTAAATAAATAAATAAATACCTGGATACGTAGAAAAATTGTTCACTTGTCAAATAGTCAAGCATGTATAAGTTATGTCAGACTGTCACTTTGGATTGATAATGAAATGAATTATTAGTTTGAATATGTGGTGCTAGATTCATAGCTTTGGTAAATACGTAACATAAATATAGGAAGATTAGCGAAAGATCAAAAGAAAGAGATACATACAAGAACATTGAGCGCTCCAGCCTTAAAATGGTGAGGATGAGAATGTTTTTTCTCACGAGAAACATAAACAATGAGAGGCATACTTTTGGTTTCATTTTCTTGAATTGCATCATCACTGGATGTTTCTTGTATAACCTGCCAAATTTCCAGATATGGGTTATGATCGTGAATTTATGTTAGGGGTGGGGATATATTTTCTCTTTTTTTTTCTGTTTTTTTTTTCGGTGTGTGGGTATGGAATGCTGCCTATCTAGCTAACTGCGTGTTATATATATCCATTAGTAAAGGACAAAATAGGAAAATGCACACTTGTCGGTTGGCAAACCTGAGATGAACTTGGAAACTTGGTAAAAGATTTCTGTTACATTGATGATAATATATATCGAAACCAAATTAGTCAACAAACAATACCAAACGTCAACATATACCTCAATCACTGCAGGGTGATCTCGACCCAGTCTGCTCCTTGTGTCCCCAACCGTTGCATTTTCTCTTACTCTTTTCTTGAATACCTCATATTTCTCCTGCACCCAAATCTCCCCCGTCAACTCTGGTAGCTAGAAACACCATTAACTGTTCATTTTGTATATCATCTCTCTAATAAATCGGTCACATACAGCTAACCCGACTTTAATGAGAAAAATCGAACACTAGATGATTATATAGCTCGTATACATGTCCCATGGCCAGCTTTGTAAGTAATAAAATGTTGTGTTGGTTAGTATGCAAAATTTAAACTGTCATTCACCTTAATATCTTCTCTCTCTTGAATGAACTCGCTGCCGCCAAAATCAGCGTCCTCCTCTTCTGCAGAGAAATAAGCCTCCGGAGCCCTGCACTTGATCCCATACCTCCTACAAAATGGAAGCCACCACTTTGCAAACCTCCAAGCCTCTCTCATACCCTTCAAAGTCACAGCAGCACCACCATCATCGGACAGATACACATGAAGTTTCTCTGGCGGATAGTCCATTGCCATGGCAGATAACACAGTGTTCATCACCCCCACAGTCGGTTCCTTCTCCGGATCCGCAGTGCATATGAACACATCAACAGCTGGGAGCTTATCATCACCAGGCAGCCTCTCCGGGAACGCGGTTCGCGAAACGGGACGCCATCGAAAAGACTGGCTGAGGAGCCACTCGAAGGATAGGAAGATTTCCGAGACAAACACAAGAAGCCATGCTAAGGTGGTTGCTTTGGTTTTGGTAGTGTCTTGGAAGAAGAAGAAAGAAGCTCTGTAGTAAAGCAAGAAGACTAAAGCTATAGAGTGGAAGAATATATGTGTCCGGTTGATGAAGATTGAAAGCTTGTGGACATGGCAGAGATGAAGGGGGAGCTTAGAAGAACTCTCCATATCTTCTTCTGTTGTGGCAAGTTTTGTGCTTGGCATGTGCGTTCTCTCAACACACAAAAGTATGAACTACCTACACCCTCCACCTCCTTTTAAAGGACCACAACACTGTTTAATTAAATAATTAAAAATAAAAATGTAGAGGAATTGAGTGGTGTGCCTGAACTATATGTATTCAAGAGAGAAGATATGGTTATGTGGTTACAAGGGTCCAAAAATTTAATGGTTCTGTGGGCTGTGGGACCAACAGTTATTATTATTATTATTATTATTATTATTTAAGACAAGTGATAGTCTAAAATAGTTTATCACACACGTTATCAAAGTGTAATAAAAATTTGAATATGACAATCATTAGTCTGCAAGTCAAAACCTTTTTCACTAAGTTTGACCCCGATTGTGGCGAAAACGATTATTTTATGATCAAACGACAGAGAGTTGATTCATAAATTAAGGTAAAACTAAGTTCTATGAAAATTTAAAAACAAAAATATGTTGAAAATTGTTTTCAGTTTTCTTAATCAGCAAGACATCATGGCCGTCGCCGGCTGACTTGTGTGACTATGTATTTCAATGACGACGACTAATTACGTTCTCTACTTAATTTCTAATTATATCATTAACTTGTGATTCTCACACTTGTTATATGTTTGGATATTAATAAAGTTTACGTCCCAAAATTGGCCACAGATTGTCCAAGTCACTGAAGGTTTTGGCACAATCAGCAAAAGAATATATTCTTCTTGTTTTTCATTGGCAAAAAGGCGACGTCGTGGGGGAATCCTCTTCGTGATTTGCAACTCATGTTTCCACTCTAATTTCACTACGAAGATGTATCACGTCACACCATCAAAGAGTGTCACACTTTGCGATGACATGAATGATTAAAATAGTATCAATTGGAACGAAGTTAAGGCATACCTGAAAGACGCCAATGTCACTGAAGCTAGTAAATATGGGGATCTAATGGCAATCAATCTTGAGGCGCAAGAATAAAAAATATCAGTCCTAGAACGAAAAGAACAAGGTGGTGCGAGGTGGCCAAGCCCCAAACATTATAATTATTTTCTTAGAAAATAACTCAAATTTGAATCTCATTTTAGATAGTTTTAAGTACAAGCTCTAAGCAGAAATGGGTTATGTCAGCCATTTAATGTAGTGTGTCAAGCCTCTTGAGTTTGAGTTTAATTCCAATCAAGTAAATTAATTTAAAGTATAATTTAGATTATCATTTTTTTTTTTAAAGTACATTTTTCAAAATAATATTTTCCTTGAAGAACCCTAAATATAATATTAAGAAGCATATGCAATTGTGAGGGATTTGTAGCTCAAATGGTTATGAGCATTTACTTCTGCACCAGAGATCCTAAGTTCGATTCCCCCCTCCCTCAATATTACTTGTATGAAAAAAGAAGTATATGCTTTTACACCAATAAACTATACTTTTCCTTTTTTTTAAAAAAATACCACAAATTCAAATCTCCTTTCACATTAAAAAAAAATATTTACTTTCTTCTGAAAACTCTAATATATATTTTTAGGCACTCTGTATAGAGATTTCATGCAGCCAGGAGAACAATATTCCTTTGGAGGGGTTCGACCAAATAAAGTTTATAAAACATAAACTAATCAAATAAAGCCTAGATCCATCTCCACACTTGAGAGGATTTTGATAGGACTTGGGTATTTGGCATGCATGTTAGCAGGCTACGGATACATGCACCACAAAGAAAGGACAAAAATGTTGATGTAGTCTTTAAAGGATGTCCTAATCAGTAATATCCAATACCATCAATTGAATGTGGGATGGGAATGAAGGAAAATTCTACAGTGTGCCAGTGTATCGATGCGCCCAAATTTCACCCATTAGATGACTTTCAATCTATGTCTGTTAATAAACACTGAAACTGAATCCCTCCAAGGAAGAAACAGAAAAAGCAAACCAAAAAAGCTGACAGCCAACAAAGGCTATATAAAAAAACACAAAAAGCATGTATATATATACTAGTCTCTTTCCCCACCTGTAAGCGACTTTTTGAAAAAAAAATTAAAATTTATTTTAGAATTAAAAAAGATAATGAGTAGTTGTGTTCTATAAAAATATGATCCATTATCTGATTTTTCTTTTCATTTTAATTTTTTTAGGGTGGTGATTTTCTCACTCCTCTTTTGTCCACTTACACTCCTTTTTGTTTTTTAATAATTTTATTATAACGAAAAAAGGAGTGTAAGTGGAGAAAAGATGAGTGTGAACATACAATTTTTAACAAAGGGAGTGTAAGTGGATAAAAGATGAGTGGGAAAATCAGCTCCCTTTTTTTAATATGAAAAAGTATGAATTTACCATATTATCCTCATTTAATTAATAATTTCAATTCTTAATGTTTGCATTAACTAAGGGCATTTTCTGGTATTTTGAATGTTTCACTATTCTCTACCTATTGCTTTATATATACTAGTCTCTCCGTACGCACTTCCGCGCTAGCGAAATCCTTTTTTAAATTAAAAAAGATAATGGGTAGTTGTGTTCCATAAAAATAGGATTTTTTTTTTAAAAATTTTTTTAGTATGGAAAAGTGTGAATTTACCATATTATTCTCATTTAATTAATACTTTTATTTCTTAATGTTTGAATTAACTAAGGGGATTTTCTAGTATTTTGAATGTTTCATCATTCTCTACCTTTCGCTTTATACATATAGATATATATTATTTATTTTTCTTTTGGGTTGATTTAATGTATACGAATAGTAGGCTATTTTATTTATTTATTAATTTCTCTTCTGGGTTGATGTTTATGTCTATGAAAACTTAAAGTAAGAATGTAATTAACTGAAAAAACCAATAGAAATTAAAAGAAAATTACAATAAACAGAAAAAGTTAAATATATTTAGATTAAAATAATAATAATAGGCATTAAAAAATTTGTTCCATGTTTTTCTTCCACTAATCTCACTTCTATTATTTCACTATTACTCCACCAATAACTAGCATGTGAATGATTTCTATAAAATAAATAAATAAAACTAAATATTTTAGTAAAATATAAAAATATTAGGTAAGACCAAAATCAGGAAAAATAATAGAATGATTCAAAGTTTCAAAAAGTAGTTAGTAAAACATTAGATTTTTACATGTAAAATATTTATTTATTTGTGGTTATGTTAAATTTCAATTTGAAGTAATCATGATAACATCTTGATTACCATTTATAAAATATATATCTCATTTCTTGACAATTTTGTGTGCATAAAATACATTAAAAATATATATGTTATTTCACCAAATAATTTAAAATCTAAGAATATAGATTTTTATATAATTGATTCTTAGTTTAAAGTATAGTCTATATTTGCATATAATATAACATATTGTTGCTAATAATTTAAAATCTAAGAATATATATATTTTTATAAAATTGATTCTTAATTTAAAGTATAGTCTATATTTGCATATAATATAACATATTAGTGCTAAGCAAAAGAACACTATCATACACAAGCATATGATCATTTAAATACTTATTTGCAAAATCGACCAATTACTAATTGAATTTTTTTCTTCGTGTTTTCAATGCGATTTCTTTTTTATTTTTTCTTTGTGTATTTATAAATATAAATATATATATATCTAATAACAATGATCAAATATAATAATTCTATATTAATAATATAAATTATAAATAAATATTCAACAAAATATATATATATAAATATGTTATATCTTAATTTACAAAGAAAAGGACCCATAGTACAATGCTAAGGTAAGAATAGACATTGAAGAAGTAAAATTGGGTCCTTAGGCTGGTAAACACGAGAGTTTACATCATTAAGAACCACTATTACACTATCATGGACAAATGCGTTCCGTAAGCTAGTAAATAATATCCTTAAGTTCAGTGTCGGAGGTAGAGTTTGATATTTTGGGGGGGCACAAGCTTAAAATTATGGGATTTTTTGTGCAATCTATACTACACTCTTTATATAGTCAAAGAGGTGAGAAGATGGTGGGGGGGCCCAGGCCATCTCAGGCCTATGAATAGCTCTGCCCCTGCTTAAGTTTGTACATTACAACATTTAGGTTCGCATCTACGAGACTTTGCACCTCCGTTACAACGTTAAGGTGAATCCTAATCCATAACATTGTAATACTCATTTAAAAACAAAATGATCCCCCTTACAACATTAAGGTAAATTTGCAATTAGCAAACGAAGATAAAATAATTGCGTTTATTAACTTGCAATTGCATTTATTTATGCAATTAGTATCTCCCTGTTTGGCAATTACAAGTTACCTAGAACAAGTTCAAATTTCTTGAAGTCTTCGTATTTTATGCATCGTTATGCCAATCCAAGTTGGTTTCTAAGTTTAGGTGATTACAAATTTATAGTTTAGGGTGAATTATGACTTTCTAATTAACAGGAAAAACTGTATAAATTAGGACTTGAAGTCTTGTAGCACATGCAACGGAATGAGATTTGATAGTGACTTACAATTAGTATCTCCCTGTTTGGCAATTAACTTGCAATTGCATTTATTTATGCAATTAGTATCTCCCTGTTTGCAATTACAAGTTACCTAGAACAAGTTCAAATTTCTTGAAGTCTTCGTATTTTATGCATCGTTATGCCAATCCAAGTTGGTTTCTAAGTTTAGGTGATTACAAATTTATAGTTTAGGGTGAATTATGACTTTCTAATTAACAGGAAAAACTGTATAAATTAGGACTCGAAGTCTTGTAGCACATGCAACGGAATGAGATTTGGATAGTGACTTACAATTACCAAACATAGTGTAATTGCATTTGCGAAGTGGTTACCCGTATGCCATGGCCATTTTGCATGTAATTAGCAGCTCCAGTTTGAAAATTGGACATTATTTGAGAGACATTTGGGACATTTATCACATCGACCGCCCCACACCCTCATCTGTACTTCACGTATGTTATTAGTGGCTAAACTCATAGAGGTGATTCCTCGCAATTACTAGACATGGAGCTTAGTAATTGCATATGGAAATAACTTAATATATTGCAAAT